AGGAGGTGGGGGAGGTGTCGCCCGCTCCCAATCCGCGTTCGTGGCTCCTTCCCCTTCTGCTTGGAACGCCCCTTCGCTTGGAACTCCCCCTCCACTTCCGCCTCCACTTCCGCGTCAAGCAGCAGCGCCACGCCGCCCTGGGGTCCCAACGGCTCGCGCCCCACGCCCGCGCACGCACCGCCTCCGCGGGGTACTCCTACACCCCCGCGTCCCCCGCTCAGGGACGATGCCCCGCGCGCGCGCGCACCCGATGGCGACGCCGAGCATGATGGGGCTGCATCGGTATAGCGTCGCGTCTGCTTCCTCGCCGGGGGGAAGTGCGATGTCGTTCAACCCCTCCTCGCCCGGAGGGAGCGGGATGATATTCAACCCTGGGACGCCGCGCGGCGACGGGTTTAATATGGGGACGCCCGACGGCGCGGGAGCAAGGATGGGAGCAGGCACAGGGCCGGTTGAGTCCGAGCATCATTATACCTGTGCTGAGGCTGCCTGCGTTCCCGACGTTGCGTGGGTCTGGGGGAGGGTTTGCGTCGCCCGGTGTTGAGGATCCGCCTGCGAGTGCCAGTGCAAGTGGAAGTGGAAGTGCGGGTGGAGGCGCAGACGGCGTCGCGCGCCGCTCGAGCGTCATCTTCGGGCCGCCGGGGGCGCATGGGCGGGAGACGAGTCGTGCCGTGGTGCGGAGTATGCCGGCGCTTGCGATGGAGGGGGCGCCCGATGCGGGGGGCGCGGCGGGGGAGTCGGATGAGGGGGAGGAGGGGGATGATGATATTGATATGGAGGGCGAGGAAGAGGGTGGGGAAGAGGGGGAGGGGATGGGAGGATGGGTACGGGGATGGGGATGGGGATGGGGGAGCGGGGAGAGCGCGGAGTCGCCGTTCGTCCCGCTGCGCCTCGATATGGGCATGTCGCCGTTGTCGCTCGACTTTGGGGCTATGCTTAGTGGGTTTGGGGCGAGCGATAAGGGGAAGGGGAAGGGGAAGGGGAAGGAGCGCGCGCAGGGACAGACACAGACACAGACGTTTGCGGCGCCGCAGCCGCTGCGGGCGCAGACGTCGGTGGCGAGCACGCGGACCGTGCATGCCGGCAAGACTCCCCAGGCGCAAGCGGGATGGCACGCGGATTATTTTTCGGTGCGCACGCCGACCGGGGACACGCGCACGCCGATGCCCCCGCTTTCGCCTGCGGTGCGCACGGTCCCCATGCCGCCGCTCCCGTCGCCCGCCGGGGAGAGGCCGGGGATGTACAAGCACGCGTCGCGCAGCATGGTCGATATCCTCGCGCCTGTTTCGCCGCCGTCGCCGGAAGAGCCGCTCGTCGCGCAGGAGAAAGGACACGAAACGGGAACGGAAAGGGCAAGGCGCGGGAGGCGTCGGAGCGCGGGGAGGCGCCGGCGTACGAGGCGCCGCTCCAACGGGCGAGCACGCTGAAGCGCCGGCGCTCGATGCCTGAGATCATGGCCGTCCCGCCGCCTACACCATGCCGCTCTTCCCCTTCGTCCCCGGCGCCGGGAACATGCACCCGCTCGCGCAGGCGCGCATCGCACCGCGGGACGACGAGGGCCGCGAGGCGCTCCCGGGGTACAGCAACGATATCCTGCTGCGGGGCGTGATGCCGCGCAAGATGGAGTTTTCGGCGCCGGGGGTGCAGGCAAGGGAGGAAGTGGCGGAGGGTGCTGTGCGAGCTGGAGGGGACGGTGTTTAGGGTGTATCGGTGTGCGGGGAGGGGTGGTGGGAGAGGCGGGTGGGGGCGGGGGATGTGGCGTCTGTGGGCAGTGCGGTGGCGAGCGCGGCGGCGCAGGCGGCGGCGGCGGTGAAGGCCCGTGCGGCGGCGGCGGCGAGGGAGGGGCGCAGGAGGGGAAGATTGCGGGCGAGGAGGGACGGATTGCGTTTGGGCAAACGCCGGGGGCGGGTGGATCGGCGATACGGGGGAGGGGACGACGGAGGTGGTTATCCCGCCGCGCTCGAGCACGTCGTCGCGCGCAGCCGCGCGTCGTCATCGGCCACCACGCCGCCCTCGCCCTCGCCACGGAAGGAGCCCGCCAATGATGGGACCTGCAAGCCGCTCGCGTCTGAATCTCGGGCTCAGTCTACTCAAGCCGCGCTCGCATGGGCGTCGAAGAGCGAGCTGCCGAACGCGCCGAAGACGCCTACTACGCCGCGGTCGTCGCTCTCGATCCCGCGGCCGTCGTTTGGCGGGAGCTCGAGCGCTGGCGCTAGTTCGAGCGGGAGCAGCACCAGCGGTGCGGCGCTGGCTCCGTCACAGTCGAACGTTAGCCTCTCGTCTTCGCGCTCGGGGTGCTCAGCGCGCGCACGCCGGCCACGCCGTCAAGCAGCAAGGCAAGTACAAGCCGATGAGTGCGGCGGGGACGGACGTGCCCGAGCCCGACCCTACGGATCTCATCCGCGCTACACGTACAGCACGCCGAGAGTGGGCTCGGAAACGACTATGTGAAGCGCAAGCATGTTATTCGCGTGCGGCTCGAGGGGAGCAGTTCTGCTGCAGGCGCGGGATGTGGGCGATGTCGTGGACTGGATCGAGGTGCGCATCGTCTTCGTCTTCTCGGATTCGTGTGCCGGGTAGAAGAAAGGCTAACTAAGGTTACTTTATAGGGATTCCATAGCGCGAGTGATATTGCGCTGGATCTCGACGAGCGGATCATGCCCAAGGGGCCGCTCTTCCCCAGGTGGGTTTCTCGGTGCTGTAATTGTGCGATGCTGACTGTTCGGCTTTTTTGCGCAGGCGGAGGAGACGTCGTCGGGCTGAGGCTTCCGGTTCCACTGCTAATGCTCCGCCCGCGAACACGACCACCTGAGTTTTTTCTTTCTTTATGGCATAAACTGGACTAGTCTGCTGCACACACCTACACTCTATGCAATGTCTAGACTCTACAAGCTGAAGTAAATTAAATTAATTAAGTGTTATAAATTTACCATCATTTTCGCACGTGAAGACGACAGGACCATGCGATTCTGAGTTATCGCCTCGAGTCATTCTTGCACAATCTTTCTCTACATCCCGCACCACAGCGCGCCAGAATACCCCAGAGACATACATCGTTTCCTTATTGACCCTTGTAAACGACCCGCACGCCAACCCCTGTGTCCATCCCTTTATCTCGATACCCCACGTCTCCGATACCACTTTACAGCTTTATAAAAGCCCCAGTTAATCGTGCATGGCAGACTCTAACATAGAGATTGACCTCGACTCGGTCATCGACAAGCTCCTAGAAGGTCCGCAGGCGCTGGTCCTATTCCTGTGCAGCGTACCGAGCTGACACCGCACGCAGTGCGTGGAAATCGCCCCGGCAAGCCCGTGCAGCTGCAAGAGTACGAAATCAAGTACCTCTGCACCAAAGCCCGCGAGATCTTCATCAACCAGCCTATCCTGCTCGAGCTCGAGGCGCCGATCAAGATATGTGGTGCGTCGTGTGCGCTCTTTTCGCTGGTGCGGTGACCGAGTGCAATTTGTGTAGGGGACATCCATGGCCAGTACTACGACCTGCTGAGGTTGTTCGAGTACGGAGGCTTCCCCCCTGAAGCAAACTACCTTTTCCTCGGCGACTACGTCGACCGTGGCAAGCAGTCGCTCGAGACGATCTGTCTGCTGCTGGCGTACAAAATCAAGTACCCAGAGAACTTTTTCATCCTGAGGGGAAACCACGAGTGCGCGTGCATCAACCGGATATACGGGTTCTATGATGAATGTGCGTCCTTTTTTTTTTGGTGGGACTTTATTGACGGAGGGTCAGGCAAACGGCGGTACAACATAAAGCTGTGGAAGACGTTCACGGACTGCTTCAACTGCCTCCCCATAGCGGCGATTATCGACGAGAAGATATTCACGATGCACGGCGGGTTGAGTCCGGATCTACAGTCGATGGAGCAGATCCGGCGCGTTATGCGGCCGACGGACGTGCCCGACACCGGTGAGTGGCGGCAGTGCAATTCTGTGAGGGTGTGCTAAACAGCGCTCAGGGCTGCTGTCCGACCTGCTGTGGTCCGACCCCGACAAGGACATCACAGGCTGGTCAGAGAACGACCGCGGGGTGTCGTTTACCTTTGGGCCGGACGTCGTCGCGCGATTCCTACAAAAACACGACATGGACCTTATATGTAGAGGACACCAGGTGCGTTTCCTGGGCACTTTGTCTTGGGACCTCTTCCGACTAATTAATTCCCCACTAGGTCGTCGAGGATGGGTACGAGTTCTTCGCGAAGCGCCACCTGGTGACGCTATTCTCCGCGCCGAACTACTGCGGCGAGTTTGACAACGCCGGGGCGATGATGAGCGTGGACGAGTCACTCTTGTGTTCCTTCCAAGTGGGTGCCGTTCCCTTGAATCGCCCCTTTTCTTACTCACCCGGGAACTGTAGATTTTAAAGCCAGCAGAGAAAAAGCCCAAATACCCGTACAGCGGCAACGGCGCTTCGACGCCGCGCAGGCAGAAGAAGCGTGCCGCCTGAGTGCACGCCCCTTTGTGTTCGAGCGTGTGGGTGCGGTTGTGTTTGCGCTGTGGATAGATCGGACATTGGCGCGCGTGTGTACGATATATTGCTGCTTCATTGTTGTTTTTATTTGGTTTTCTTTATTGGAGGACATGCACTCTGGGCTGTTGGCAGTCTGACATCTATTTAAGCTCTCAGGCTGTACCTTGGTCGATGATTGGACATGTTGTATGATTGCTGTATATATGATAGAAAACTATCCAGGTAGAAATACGAGCCGTCCTGCAAGTTGGTGAGCTACTTTAGTTATATGAAAAGCCTTGTCCCAAAAATGGAAACTCACCGCCGCTTACGTGAGATATTGGCCAAATAGGGTAACTTCAAAATTTTCTCCTTTTAACCTGTCGCCAGCTCTAACCTTGCTCTCTGAGTAGGCGCATGGACTGACGCTGACACCCCGGCCTCTCGAGGACTGTAAGAATGAAAAAGGAAAGAGTTTCTCACGCTGATTCCCTCATGATAATCGATAATCAAAGGCGTCCGTAGCAAAACATGATTCGACCCAGGTTCGAACTGAGGACCGCCTGTGCACACATTACGCAGTGGAATGCGAGAATGTTAGACAGAAGTGATAACCAACTACACCATCGAACCGATGAAGTAGCTGGTTCTATAAGATCTACCTATCTTGGGAGGGAAAGTTAGACTATTTTGGTCAGACAACTCAATATTTTTCTGAACTCAGGATACCCGTGTTGGAGTCGTGAACGCCTGGAGTGCATCCCGTCCCAGGAATATTTAACCCAAATGGTGATCACGTATCTGATCTAAACCGCAGAACGGCGGCTGGCGCGATACTGAAAAGCTGGTACACCGTGACCTATTTTCCTCAATTTTCAACAGGACGCTTTACATTTGTTGCTGGAAAACCTTATAAAGATCATTTTACATCACCTACAGTAACCGACTTTCCTTAATCATAATGAACCTGAACTTTCTGACATGCAGTTTCAGATCAAGTGGAAACTTGAGATCCAATGCTGCTTCGTCCATTTGATGGCCGTGAGTCTGGGGAGACATACGTGAAGTTCCGACCCAGCTTGACCTAGCAGGCGCCTCGCCATCATGGACCAGCTCACCGCCGTCTTTGAGGGGAAATTTCCACCCCAGCGCGACCCGGACCCGCTCCTCCAGTTCCTCCCGCTTCGGCTCGATGGTTTCGAACTCGAGCTCGAGCTCCTGCAATTCCGGGATGCTCCCAACCCACGCAGCCCATCCCTCTGCGGGTGGCTGGATGTGGAGGGGCACGCTATTCTCCCAATTCCACCAATCCGAATGGCGGATCGTGATGACCAGCTTGCGGATCGCGAGCCCTGCGGCCCATTCTTGAAATCTGCTGCGGCGACCTTCGAGCCAAAAGAGCTGTGCGAAAAACCGCACCTGGCGCACTGCCGCACGCTGCTGGGGTGTCATCCTCTGAAAATACTTGTGTGATGACCTGTTGGAAAAGCTTCCCGGCGGCGCGCGATACATTCAAAAGACGTGCTCATTCAGCGCAATGGGTGCGAGGTGTGTTTCCAAATATACGGAACGGCAGGTGAGGAGCAAATTGGTGTCGATCCTGCCCGCAAACTCAAAGCCGGGGCGGTAATAGTATTCATGTTTGCCGAAGGGGCGCGCGAGATCGTCGTACTCCTTCAGAACGTGTCTGAAGACGACGTCTCGTAGTTCCGGGTACAACGTACCAAAAAGAGGAGATTGCTGCTGATTATGGACAGTGGAGGCCGAGATTCTGGTCGACAAAGGCTCGTAAGACAGGGAGGAGGACATGTCTTCCGTTGGGAATCCGGTGGGTTTAAATGGCGGGACCGCCGGGTCAGAGGCATTGAGATTCTGGTCCACAGACTTGGAGGCCCAGAACGGGGAACCTGAGGAGGACATGTAGCTACTCAAGAGCTGTTGGGACCTTGCGAGTATAATCAATCCCCCCCCCCAAAGGAGCGACCGTCAAGAGCCGTGGGAGATGCCCGAGCGGAGTTTAAAGGCTTCGGATAGAACAAAGCCGAGTCCCATCGGCAGCAGCGGCGGGGGCGGCATGTTGAACTTGTAAAGTCAGAGTGAATTTAATGCACCCAACAGCTCAGTAACTTTAAGTACCTGTGCCATATCCTGACAAAACCTACCATAGATGTTTCTCGAGCCAGGACGCGGCAATAGGGTTGTTCACAGTAGCCTTTTTTCCTCCCTTTTTCGCTCCCTTTTTTCTCTCTTTTTTGTATTCCCACCGTTTTTCTCCGGGTTTCTTCAATTTCAACGTGCAAAAAGGGTGTAAATCCAAAAAATCTAGGTCCAACGTGCGAATATTGGATGAAATCAGAAAAAAAAGGAAGCGAAAAAGGGCCGAAAAAAGGCTACTGTGAACACCGCGGTTTTCAGCTCCCTTTTTCGTCCCTTTTTGGCTCCCTTTTTGGCTCCCTTTATCCATTTCATGCAGTCTGGGTGCTCGTATAGTTCCTTAAAGGTCAGATAACACATTAGGCATTCAAAAAGGACTCGGGTGAATTTTTCTGGATTTTATAGGTCACTCGGTGACATTTATCTGCCAAACAAGAAAAAGGGCGGAAAAAAGGGAGCAAAAAGGGCGCAAAAAAGAACGTCAAATAGGCTACTGTGAATAACCCTAATCTTCAGACTGGGAGCACTCTCAGAACTTGACATCCGACTTTTGCGGGAAGTTTGGTTTCGTTCGTTGGTCGTATCAACTCGCATCTATGCATCAGTGCCTGCCAAGTCTTATTGGCACCGGGCTACTTTTGCCGTTGGCTTGCATTCTGCCAGTGCAGGCGCCGAACGCGCTCGCTCGATAGTACTCTGAACTTCAAGTTTGTCGAGCGCTACGCGTGGTCACCTACGACTTGGAAGTGTATCGCGTCTAACCAACCCTGGTTGCCTGATACTAGTTGACTGACAAATCCTTATTCCACCTGTTGCTCCAGCCCATGGCCCGCAATATCTTAGTAAGTTCGAGAGCTCGCTACTAGTCGCTAACCTCTTCCGCTTAAAGATCCCGGGATCCACCGAATATGTGTGAGCCCGCAGATCCAATTTCCAAAAAGTGCGTATGGTGTACAGAAATTTAAAGACAGTATTGTGTGATTCAAGAGTTTGTTGACGTCGAGCACATTGAAAGTAGTAGCTCAGACAACACTTCTATCCGTTTTCTGTGCTCGTTCAACTGTGAGTGTTAAATCCACAGAGTATTGTAGTGCTTACCGCTAGGTCATAAGAGCTGCCAGACCTAAACCCGAGGTCATGTGGCTCAGTTTTGTCAGCCATGGCTCTGAGACTGGTACGGGAATTGAGGCTTCAAGTTGTTCGACTTTGAGTGAATACGTATCCGGAGAATCAATGCATTGATTACCTCGCCAAAAGAGAATTTGAATATACTAGGAATTTCTAGGTTACTTGAAACTTGGCGTGAAATTTTAGCACTCACATCTTGCGTTTACGACAAAGAAGGCAATCCATATATCTGAACAAAATTAGTGGCCGAATAATCTCCATTATGATGCTAGGGGCCGTACAATTTCCTGGCATAGTTACGAACTATTGAAATAGATAAGGCTGGGGGAAAACGAATATGGACAATAAATGTACGCAGCCTAAGGATGCCAGTCCAGCAGCACTGCGCTAAATTCAACCGGCGTCCTATGAACAAAGGGGCCTAAACTTGCCTTGTTATGACCCCGGTTTCTGCGACAAGTTAGGTGAATTCCAGAAATCGCTTCCGAGACGAACCCATTGTCCAAGCTATAAGTTTGTCTACGAGTGCAAGAGTGCTACAGAGAGTCCGATCATCAGTTGGGACAGTAATAGAAAAGCTGGCCAGCCCACCGCTTCTCGGCCGCAGGGCGTTGTTGGCGCAGCCGATAGACCAGTGTCGCGGTAATTATTACATCGTTCGCAGAGGCGACAGACCAGAGAGAATTCAAAAGCCATGACCATCGCGCTTCAAACTCCGGTATCGTCTTCATGCGTAATCCGTAAACAAAGACGGTTATGGAGCCCAGTAGCCGCGAAAAGGACAATATCCAACTCAGGCAGGGTATATAGAGGCTCTTCGAGATACGGTATATCCGGGACGCAAAAAATGACTGGACTGCGTTAATGTTGAGGTGGAGTTCATACACTAGAAAGATAGGCCTACCACATGCACCAACCAGCCCGGAGAACAGCACGGCCGTGGCCAACGATCGCGGTATGAGGACAAGACGCTCGGGATGATCGTAGTCAGAAACCGTTATCTGATACAGGGTGTCGGCGATACAAATAGCATGTGCGAGTTCACAAGACCTGGACAGAAGATTGTCCAAAGACAAAACAAGCCACTCGGACAGTAACATACCATATAAACGCAACCTAAAAGTATCAAGCTCGTCACTTGGATAGGATAGTGGAAATTGTGGAATTTTCTCACGAGGTACTTCAGTCCACGGAAATCGTTGGGAAAGCGGCTGTAGTATATGTAGGCTTGGGTTGTCGTCACTCCAAGAAGGGTGTACGATATGAGTACCCCGAGTTCGTAGGCACCTGCAGAATGCCTTTCAGTAGTGCTGGAAAATTCAAGAACTTACACCGACGTACCGAGGGTGGTATTAGGATCAAATGAAGCCATGTTGGAAACAAGCTGTCGAGTCTCGAGGTATTATATGGTCGCTATACTTACTTCCTGAGCCGCTCAACATCCTCAACAAAATGACGATCATACGCGCCGGAAGTAAAAGCAGAGGACTCTAAAAATGGCTTGCGGTCGAGGGCATTGTTCATGAAGATCCTTACCACGAAGATTATTCATGTTAGTCATTGAAAAATCTGTTCACCGTCTAATTGCCTTCATGGCAGCAACTTATCAGTGCTATTTCAAAACGATATACGATCAAACGGATCCACTCACGCGCTTACCGTTCAGTGCTAGACAGTTGGAGCCTGGAGATCGAGACATCCGGAACAAACCTGACGACTATACCAGTTGAGAATGTAGACACGAGGAACACTTGCGGCATTGTGAGACGGTAGACGCTAAGGAAAGTTGAAGGCGGCAGTACTTAATAAGGATTGTAGAATCAACTTGAAACTGCCAATTGGTAATAATCTGTTCGCCGCACAGTTTGACTGTTCGACACGGTACGAGTAGTCCGCACTGGTCGCGAGATAGTTTTCAACTTGAAGTAACTCCGCAAAGTTGGGAAAAGACCAAGAAAGACTTGGAAGTTGAACAGACCAGTGCGTGATACATTCTAAACGTTTGCAATAAACCCGACGAATGCCCTGTGAGACGAGGTTAAGATCTGGTTCGAAGTCGTCGAAGGTTGCCAATTCTCTCACAACGATGCCGAGCTGCCGAGCTGATAATTAGCTTCCCATCGTTCTATCAAACTGTTCTCGAGTTGCTCAGACCTACCGTATTATTCAAGTTGGACCAACGCCAATCGCGGGGACTACAAGTTTTGAATGAGTCTCTTCTCAATCGACTGTCAGCATGAAGTCGGCTCGAAAGTCTGAGTATAACATACATGGAAAGGAAAAGCCCACGAATAATGACTCGGAGTAGTAGAACGGGTTGAAGAGCACGGCCGTCGAGGCTGTATGCGTAA